CAATCACCAAATCAGTGGCCAGGACGTCCGAAATCCCACATACCCTCCTCAAATTAGGGGGAGCCTTAGTGGAGTCTGGACAGTCCACCCGGCCCACTGTCAATTGGATCATGTCTCCCCACAACCCACGTGTGGAGGGCCTCCGCATGGTCCGCTTTCGCAGGCACAATGAATGATCCTATCCACCATTGTCATACTAAAATTGTGTGGCACGCCAGTGCCGACTACCCCCCTTCCTGAAGAATATCGCTGGTCTATTCATGGTTTTTTTTTCCTTTCTTAGTGAAAAACTCCACAAATTTTATTGATTAATGAAAATGTTTACAGGGATAAATGACTTCTTAAAAAATGCTAAATGGGATACTGGTGTCACAAGTGCACAATTAGATTTCATCTTCTGAGTGAAACGACACCTCCGGTTACTGAAAACAAACAAGAAAATAAATCACGTTGGGTTAATTTTCAACGCACAAGTCACATGTCATGCAGGATCTGCGTGTCCGTTTGTGCATGATTAGATGCATTCTCACGCACCCTTTGGAGGACGCGACACTGGCGTCAAATGGCCCACGCCGAGCGATTCTTGAATCTTTGAACGATTCTACTACTCGCTGTTGTCACATAATCTTGTCAAAGATACCTACACAATTGGTCAAAACGTGCCAAGATGTTTGTGTAAATAATATAGCCGGCGTGATGCGACAATGGTGCGTGCCAGATAGCACTTCTGGGGTTGGAATCACACTGACAGGTAGAAACTGTAGCTTACTTTTGGATCTTAGCTGAAATCTTATGAAGAGTACTACTTGGAGGGAGTATTAGACGTTTTTGTAGGCCTAAAAAAACTCTGCAAACAGGAGAGATGTGAACTTGTCAAAGAACCTCTTTTTAGCCATGTTTGATTGCTACTCCTAGTACAACGATTTGATGATTTTGATGCGCAACATGAGACTAGTCCTAAGCTTTCACCATCATCATCATCATCATGGGAGCAGTACGTGTCGATTTCAGGGTTAGAGAAAATTGTAGATCAAGATTTCAGGGAGAATTGACTGATACTGGTTGGTTTATTGTGTATCTATCTGCACATGGTCGACAACTATAGTGTTAAACAACACGCCTGTCCATAAATACATGACTTCTTGCGATGCATAGTCAAACTTTTCTAATTCTGAATACTTGAACGTAAGAAAATGTAATAGATTGGTGAAGTAAAAAATACTATCATTATTAGATTTGTCACGAAGCATACTTCTATAATAAGAATTTAATCTTAATATAGAAAAAAAATCCAAAGGTACTTGGTGGAGACAGTATCAATGTGGAGGGAGACATTAGAACCCTTGTTCTCCTTCCGATAATAGGCCTAGCGAGGGTTAGTGCCTTAGTGGTATGATTGTGCTAGTTTCGACTAATATCAGCAGCGAACTTTAGTATCTCCACCCTACCGGTTATATATGACCCTCACTAAACTATATGAGGTGTTTTTCGGACTCAAGGGAGGTCCGTCAACTATGTCTCCTTGACTCCGAGGGAAACCTCCCGTGGAGCAGGTATTGGTGGTATTGTGCACCGCTTTCTTGAAGGCATCGTCTTGGAGCGGGCGGGGATGGGACTGGCAATGGCTTGCTTCACATCATTTATGAGTCACCTTTATCCGGTGTGGCTTGTGATTTGGCATCCATAATGATTGCGGGTTGTGTAGGGTCACGGCAGGGCTCTGGTAGTCGACTATGTTTGACGTGTCCCGTAGGTTTCTCTTTGTCTCGATGTGTCATCATGGAGTCGGAGTTGCCTCGATGGAGCCTAGGCGGTGACGTTGACAGCTGATTGGTGGTCTTCGAGGAGGTCTAGCTAGCTTGGTTCGTGCAAATCATGCATATTTCTTCCACATGTGATCGTCTGCAAAGTCGGAATTGTTTGCAGTGAACTAGGAGTCGCTCCCTTGGAGAAGAGTGATGACCACTACTAGAGAAAACCTTACTAGTGGCGCTAGTTTTTTTATATACCAGTAGCACGGGCACCCGCGCTACTGCTAGGGCGCTACAGCTATTATTTAACCGTAGCGCGTTTCTAAACAAGCGCTGCAGCTAAAATACTTAGTAGTTGCGCCTCTTTCTATACCAACGCTACTACTATCATCAGGTAGTAGTAGCGCCCTATTTTCTCCCCACGCTACAACTAGGTAAATAGAAATTAAAAATAAAAAAAAGTCAGATGCAATATTCATGGAAATCAAGACAAGTCCAGTGCAAATAAACTAAGTTCATAGAACCATCTCACAAATATTAACGATAATACCATATTTAATATAGCCACACAATCTCACAAACTCATATATAGTAGTCAACATTGCATGGATAGATCATAGTTGATAAGTCTATTAGGTAGTCATACTAGCATATATATGGTTGAGCAGCCACATACATGCATATGTAGTTCTAGATGATAACAATGACGATCATCATCCTCAAGCCTTGGCGGTGGGTATTCCTGATAGTAATTAGGATGATCTGTCCAACATGAAGATTCTTGCCGACGAGGAAGCTCTTCCACCCAACCGGGTTGAAGTGTGTGTGTGACCGTCCATGTCCATGCCGTACGCACAGGTGGTGACGGAGCCCCTCGCGGTAAGGCGTATTCCAGCAAGCCTTCTTCATCAGGCTTGATACCACAACTTTCAGATAGGCTCTTTGGCAATTTCTGAATAAGAAAAACATATCAATTAATAAGTAGCCCCACGCATTCTACACTATCAAAATATAGTACTACATTTCTACTAAGCATGAATTCTACTAATAAGTATATATGGATTCTACACTATTAACAGTTCTTTGGATTCTACACGAAGCATATATATCATCGGATTCACTAAGCATATATATCATCGGACTCACTAAGCATATATATCATCGGACTCTACACTAAGTATAACAATAAAGTATATCATCAAATTCCTACAGTAAATGCAACATACCATGACATGCCGATCAACCATGGTACTTGTCAGGCGGGTCACGAATGGCACCCCTACGAAGTCAGCACGTGGCGGAATTATGTCCCATAGGTTGCACACCTCCTCCTCGCTCAACCTCATTCTTTGAGCTACGATGGCTTCATCAAGTGGGTCGTCATCATCCTCATCATCTTCATCATCTTCCGCTTTGTTGACACAAATGACGGTCAGCTTGGGTGTTTCTGCTCTGAAGGAGAAGCTGATCAACTCACCATCGATGGTACGCATGTGGGCTTTGAAACGGACCCATCCATCTCCTCCCACCTGCGTCATATTTCGTCCTTTCTCGACCTCCATAGTGTAGGGGCCCCCAGGAGCCTCAAAGGTTACAGAGTCTCCGGTCAGCTTATTGAATTCCGACCTCACATTGCATTGGACGATCTGTGTACAAAAAGCAAAATGATATATACACGATGCATTAATGCCAATAACACTAAAAACAAAATAGTGGTTACTAGTTTCATATAATTTATTACCGCCGCATGAAGAAAACTATACTGGAAGTAGATGCCGAACAGCGTGCCAGTTGCAAGGCTTCTGGCGCACCTTGACTTGCACCGTCGACGTGGTGGTGTGGTGGCGCCATTTCCCTAAAGCAATATGATTAAAGGATTAACGATCCAAAAAGTAAACATAAAGTTTTCACTACACATCAGGTTTTGAATAATATACACATCAGGTTCACATCATAGAGAATACACATCAGGTTCAGATGGCAAGCAAAATAACAACTAAATTGTAGTTCAGTTCAGACAATAACCGAATAGAGATCATGTAACCCAAACAGAGCCTAATAATAAGATAAATGGCATGTTGCCATTATTGCGCAAGAAGACAAACAAAAGTAGTTCAAAAACAACCTAATTCTGCATTATTGGTAGATAAAATACCATTTATTCACATATTAATCGAGGCAGCTATAAGGCAGCAATAAGATCATCAATAGATAAAATACCATTTATTTACACAAAGATCAATTATGCATTATCTCTGCAAGCATGGCAAAGCAGAGCAATAACTCTTCCATCCTCATCAAGGACAACTCCCAGCCCTGACACAAGGGTAAAAACACTTCCATCATCATCAAGGACAACTGAACTAAGTGGATCAATCCAGGCATGGGCGGATTTGGGCCCCAGGCAGCCCAGGCCATTGCCTGGGGCGTGGAAAAAATCGTAGGCCTATATTTAGAAAAAAAACTTTGGCCTGGGGCGCAGCCCAGGTCCAAGCCCAGGCAGCCCAGGCGAACAGGCCCAGCCGGCAGGCCGCCCCAGGCTAACTCACCCGCACGGCCGCACGAACTCGACAGCGAGACGCTCTCCCGCAAGGCCGCAACCCTAAGCCGTCGCCCGTCGCCGCTCGCCGTCGCCCGTCGCCGCTCGCCATCGCGGTGTCACCAGTCAGGTTCTTGCCTCCATCCGCCCGGATCCCCCCTTCCAGCGCCCCCCGTTTCAGCGCCCGCCCCCCTCCCCCATGGCCCCACCCGAGTGTGACGCTGCCGCTGCGGCGCTGCGGGCCTGCGGGAGTCCGTGGTCGGCGTCCGGCGAGGGCGTGAGGCAGCGAACCCGGATAGGACGCGACCGCGCGAGGATTCAGCCTGCAGGCTGCCCGGCCCGGCGTCCAGCGAGGTTGATGCCCTGTTTTGATGGCTTGATGCCCTGTTTTTGTTTATAGATGCCATTGTCTTGTCAGTATTCGATTGGATGATGATGATGATTTTAGTTGCTAGATGCCACTGTTTCTCTGTTTGTTAGATGTGTCATGTAGAAACCAATTTTGACATTGAGAAATTTTTGTTTCTCTAAAATTTTACAGGAGCTCAAGATGAGCAAAAGAAACAAGACATTGAATTCTTTTTTTCAAGTTCGAACCACCGAAGCCGCAGAAACCGGTCCTTCAGCTCAAACTAGACTCATTCATTCGGGAAGCAAGAGGTGATCCACATTTGATGAATTGCAATGATCTTGGTCATCTTGCCATGAATATGGTTAAAAGTGATATGCACACAACTTTTCCTTTAGTTTACCGTCTGGTTGAGTTAGCATTGATTTTAGCTGTTGCAACCGCAACCGTGGAAAGGGCATTCTCAGCAATGAGCATTATCAAGACCGGATTGAGGAACAAAATGGGTGATGATTGGATGAATCATAGAATGGTATGTTACATTGAGAGAGATGTATTTGTTACTATAGAAGAATCCAAAATCATTGAGCGATTTCAAGGTTATCGCACACGTAAAGGTGTTTTGCCTCGTCCTACACGTAAGTTTTCACATTTTGCATCTATCGTTAATTAGTTTTGCCTGCTATATTATGCACTGATTCACATTTCAAAATTGATGATTGAAGGTTTAGCGATGTCTGCTATTGAAGATGTAGTCATGGGAGGCTCAGATCAACCAATCATTTGATTTGGTATCAAACTTCTGTATCGTTTATCTATGCCACATATTGTCTTTTGATTTGTCTTGCTTTATTAGTTGACCATCATGGAACAAATGCTGCCATTGAACATCATGTTTGGTTTCTTATTAGTTATGCAAAACATAGATTGATTCTTGTATGCCTTGAAATTGAAGTTTTTTCTGGGTAGTTTTTAGCCATTAGTTGTTCGCCTGGGGCCTCAACAATTCCTGGGTCCGCCACTGAATCCAGGGGAACACTTTATCTATTCCCACATCCCAAATTAGAACCAGCTTAGAATCTTTCAAAAGAGCACGACACAAGATTCACAAAACACAATAAGTAAACATCCATTCCACCTTTGGCATCAGATACATAGTAATTAAAACTATAAAAGGAAAACACACCCCTTTTAGATCAGATACAACTCTCTGTCTCTCTGTGTTTTCTTTTTCTGAAATTTATCAAAAATGGGCTCACTAACAACATCAGATGGATAGCGATTTGGGTCGATCATTCCATTAACGGCCGGGTGCTGCTGGACCGATGCCGTCACCGGCTAACCTCCTCCTACTCCTAAAAGGCAATGAAACAAGACTACAAGTGCATGCTTCCCTTTGCATCAACCGCTCTGGCCATCGGTGCAGTTGGTTAGGCCTTAGGCGTCTGTGACTATGTTTCCACAGCAAGAAAAACCTAACTTGCCGCCCTCTCCGCCATTCTCCTGCTCCTTCCCCTTCCCCTTCTCCCTGGGCCTCTGCTTGCCCGCCGACGCCATGGCGGCCGCCACCGCCGCCTCACTGCTCTCCCGCTGCTGCTCCTCCCGCTGCGTGCTATCCAGCAGCTCCCGCCGCCTCCTGTCCCTCTCTTGCAGCTCCCGCCGCCTGTTCCCCACCATGCCCAACAAGCCTCTACTTCTCTCACCTAACCCCTCTCTCTACTCTCTCCCCCAATCCCTAAATCCCTTTTCCCCACGCGAAATCCCAAAACTTGGTGAACCGCCGCGGCGAATCGATCGGAGCCTAGTGGTGGCGCACGCAGGGAGGAGGAGATCGAGGAGGACTTACGGGGCTGGAGCATCGGAGGAGGCGAGAGGCGGCAGCGCGTGGTGGCGGCGCACGGTGTCGTCGGCGGGGGTGAGGCGGCTGGGGAGGAACCCTAACCGCGACGGCGTCGTCGGGCGAAGGGGATCGATGTGAGAGTGAGGGATGGTGCGGGGGGGAGGGGGGCAGCGCGCGGGCCGGTTTTCTTTTCCTATAATAGTAGCGCTGGGTAAAGGCCGGCGCTACTGCTAAGCCCACCAGCTGTAGCGCCCGTTCGAAACAAACGCTACAGGTAAGTGGACTACCGTTTTTGCCCTGCGGCCCACGTAACAGCAGCGCGGCCCAAGCTAACAAACGCTGCTGTTATTTAGTAGTAGTAGCGTGTTTTGTACCAGGCGCCACTGGTACATACCAGTAGCGTGGGTGCTTAAACAGGCGCTACTGTTAAACTTCCGTCTATAAGCATTTTTGTAGTAGTGGACGCTGATGCTTGCATTCAACAACGATGAAGGTCATCTCTTGAACAATGTGGGTGGGTTTTGTACTCAGAGCAATGCAAGACTTACGAAAAAATAGCTACGTATCTTACGTAATAACC